GTTTGTGTTGGTAGATGTGTCGTTGTATTTGTGCTTGTGTTCTGTCGGATCGTTAGTGTGAAAGGGCCATAGAAAAGTACAAAGTATATGAATGAAGTCCGCGGAATGGATAAGGTCGTTCGGAAGGGCAAGGAGCAGTAACTTTATTTAGTGGCGAGTCACATCTGCCAAGTCGCAGAGTTGTTAAAGTGTGTTGTTTAAGAGAAGCTTCTACATGCTTCGTGTTCTGGTTGGGTTGAAAAGTAACCTCTGCGAAACGGCACGTGGTGAAGTACTCGCCGGTAGATCGAGTAAATTGTATCCACTTGCTGAACAAGAAAATTGATCAAGTTACAAGTGGAAAAGATAACACAAAAATTTGCAGCAGGTGCGGAGACGAACATATGTGCGTAGGTAAGATAGAGTCTGTTCGCTATTCGAATGGCTTCTGTACAAGAACAAAGCCAAACAAAAAGTTTAGAAAACTACGCATCATCAAAGGTCTGTTTGCCTTCCATTTGGTGATAATGAAAAACATGTAAAGGAAAAGGAAAACTTAAGAAAGAGCGATTTCAACCATACTGAAGGTTGCAGTTCAGATACAAAGTGCGAAGAAACATGGGGCACGCTGCCATATGAAGACTGGATTCAGCAACACACTATTAAGAAGGATGTTTCACCAACTGAGAGGTGACGAGAATGTGGTCGCATCCGCGAGCTTAGAATTCAACCAGGGAACACTAGCCGATCAAGTTCAACATATTTCGTAGCAGTTAGTAATTAGGATAGTGCTATAAGAAGCCAAATGTATCGTTCAGCCATAACATGAATAAAACAGGCGCGTCCAGGGCGATCTCATCCAGTATCCGATGACTCATGATAAACCATTCAAAAGAAGTAAAGAGATGTGACAGAGACTCGAAATCATACGTAATCACTGAGAGACTCGAAAGCCTTGAGAAAACCCGGTTGATGCGTTGAACTTAGGATAGAGATTCCCACTATCACGCAGACACAGACAGAAATAGGAACAAAGGGGAGAGAAAATCCCACGAGCACGTCCTTAAAAAAATTGACGCTCTCACAAAAAGGGGAACGAGTCTGAACCAGAGACAACATTGAAAGGCTGCACAAGTAAGTCACTTAGGTGAGTGTTGTTGCCCACGTGTGTGGGATGGCGAAAATATGTCATCTATGGAGAATCCAACTGAGAGGAACCAAGCATGGTGTATCCAAAGAATAAAACATTCGCAACGCAAACGTGATCATGATCACAATCAAAAACTGTGTCGCCCACACTCACTGACAAGATAACCTGTACTTCAACTCCAGGGATTCAGATCGGCCAACGGAGAACGAGCGATCATATTGACTTGAGTGTTGTTCATAACTTGTGAATAAAAGAATAGAATCCTCACAAATCTGCGCCAATTAAATTCGCCTTATAATGACTGGGCATACAAAGTTTGCGTGGCCAGTGAGACCAACAAATATACTGACCATATTCAAGTCTTTCCGAGACAATGGCTTCCAGATGAGCTGAAAGCCGGGGTAGCTCTATTTAGATGTTCAGAGTGTGCTATCGTCTATTGAATCTCAGTGAGCACCTGCAAGAGTGCAGTTCATCTTCGAAGCTAAGTAGAAAATGTCGAATGACAGTGGCCAATGCTACTTTAACAGTAACCCAGAGACCGCAATAAAACATACAACCATGTTACCAAAGTTAATTGGACAAAAACGATGGATTTTCTTGAGTCACCAAGTTTACGAGAGTCCACTATGAGCACCGCCAAATGGCATAGAAGTAGGTGTACACGCTAGTAATATAAAACGCCAGTTTCCAAAATAATGAACAGCAAGATACACCCGATTTAGAAAAGCAAATCAACAATTTAAAAAGATTGTTTTGCTTATCATAAATAGTTGTTAAAACACAAGCACCTTTCGTCAAAAAGTAACCACCATCACGACTCCAGATGCCTTGAAGTTACTGCGTGCTATTCAAGAAACGCGCACACAAAACTTTAGCGCCGTAATGCAAATTGGCCCACCGAACCAGATGAAGCCAACATAGTCCGTGAATATAGTGATGGTGAACCTGTGGTTTAGAATTTGGACGGTGTCAAAATAGATGTAAGCAGACGTCAAGCAGATGTCAATACATCTTCCAATGTCGTAGCCCAATTGGAGTTAATATGAAGCAGCGAGAGTGGAAGGGACCAACTATCGTGATGGCAAAGGTGACGTCAAAGATTATGTCGAGTGAAAACGCAAGTCCATCACCAACATGACCAAAGGCATGTATGGTATAATTCCTGTGGTAGATAAAATGCTCCAATGGGTCACCTATCATTGCCGGAACACCGCCTCGCATAGGGTTTTGAAGTCGATGTTTGTCGCAGACAATGTCGGCTGGTAACCTTAAGTACGTGTTGAGCACAATCTCTATTTCAGTAGCACAGCGATTCTGTGCAAAGGTAAGCATCGCCTGAAAAGGCGATGGATTCCGATTGAGTACACAATCCTCAGTTAATGATGGTGCATCTCTAAACAAAACAAGAAGCCGATTTTGAACACACCACGGAGCCGAACGTGCTCTAGGGCGCATTTCCACGGCACGCACATTTCCAGTAACAGCGAGGTGAGTGACAGAGGAAGTACTCAATCAGAACCTACACCAAACATATGCAAAGCATCAAAGCACCAAAGTCAGGGATCATGAACAAACGAAATGAGTAAAGCACATGCATACCGGAATGGTCTTCATTGGGTTTAGAGGAAGCTGCGCGAACGCTACTTGCTCACATACCAAGAAGTGCCACCACAATGAATGCATCAATGACACTTCCTACAGACTAGGGAAAGAAAAATCTTTCCCTTGTGAAATCAAGTTCAGAGCTCATCGCGAACTGAAAAGGCGGTCAGCTTTTAGTTCCATGAAAAAGCTGTTAGTGAAAGAATATCTTCCGGCCGAGAAAGAAGACATTTGACCAACGCAATAAGCACCGCCTACCTAAGTATGGAGGATCTAGGAATCACGTAACTAATGCACACAGACTACAGAAATCGAGGTGCGCCACATTTTAAAACTGGGTAAGGTCGGCTCGATGCTGAAATCAGGATTCAGCGAATGCATGCATGATGCAACGTGACTCCCAATTCAACTACAACACACACAACCAGGCCATTTGGAGTGAAATTGGATGCAGCATTCCATTCGAAAACAACCCAGCTGATATTCCAACGCAAAATCTGTAAAATGGCACAGAGAAACTGGCCACTAGTCAAACACAAGCAGCTGTGTTGTAGCACAGTTTACGGACACAGTGACGTGGACATTGAGGTTCATGCAATCGTGTCACCGAGTGTAGGCGAATTGCACAGGCAGGAGAGAGGTCGGTGTAAAGCCGGATGAGTGACATGCAAGCCTTGATTCAGACGGAAAATGAGAGTGTCATCGAACGTGCAGGCCAATCTCTTCAGGAAATAATCGTTGGGTATAAGGTTATTCCGAAGACAAGAGGAACGTATTATTTGACCATGGAAGCCTGTGGGCAATGGTCAAACCAAGCAACAGCAAATAACAGAGCGTTGCGTCATGTTGTCTGTCGTATTCATACGGCGGTCAAATACAACGCGACTGTTGACCGAATGTCACGTATCGGTTTCAAAAGGAAGCCGAAGAAGATACAATGAAAAGTAATGACTTACTTCAAAAAATAGAGCATGGTAGATAACGATCATAGGTAACAGGAAAACTGGTAGATGCATATTACTTCGTATTGTCTCCTCAGTACAATCAACAGTGACCGATATGCAAGTATGTAGCGAACTCTGAGTGTGACCAAACAAGTGTGATAGGTAAGGCCAATGACGTTTGGTGATTTGCAATTAAAAACGAATAGGAGTCTTTGAAGTGTGTAACATTCATAGTGTGATAAAGTATAGTATGGGAGCGGAATCGCGTAACGGTACACTCAGGTTCTTTGGGAGCTCAGTGCATATGAACAGAGGGAGTCAAAAAACAATAATATTTCACAAACCAACAGAAACATTTGGAGTACAAAAAATCACAATCCAAGTCATTTGAAACAAGTTTGCTCTGTAATCCCGTCATCTCTGCCTAGCAGGGAGAGGACTGTTTACGAGGCAGGACACAAAAAGCGCAAGAAGATGGACAACGGGAAAGATCTACGGCGATTACTGAAACGCCAGTTGTAAATAGCATTTAACCTATATTTAAGTACTGTCGCAATGTGAATCCAATAGTAGGAAAACTCAGAGACGAATTGGGCAGAATTAGGAAAAGAGATTTGGAAAATTTTCCAAAGCATCAGCAGTACGCCGATACTGCGTGCCGCCGCTTCGCCGCCGCGCAACCACCACCAGTCGCACGTGGGCCATGCGAGGGTCGCCCTGCCTGTACGCAGGCTCGAACCTGCGCCGCGAGATAACGAGGCAAGCTCGATACCTCCAAGCTGCGGGCAGCCGGCAAGTTTCCAAGAGGCCCAGATGACGCGGTCGACACTGGCATGTTCAAATCATACCCTTCCTCTGCATAAATAGTACATGTGGCTGGCTCGTCGAACAAGCTTCACGTGGTGCCAGCTGGGTGCTTCGGGTTAATCCCGTTCCAGCGAATGGTTCGGCGGCAGTATTCCAGGACGTGGTGGGTTTCAGCCTGGTACGCGTTCTCCCTATAGAAAGCCACATGTGTCTGTTTAACAACACTGCGACATGGCGAATGTGACTCGGCACTAACTAAAGTCTGCCTCTTACGTATCTGGATGATATTATTGTATTCACGGACGTCAGTCATCCAATACAAAGAGTTCATATCACCCCTTCCCACGGTGATGACCCGACCGAAATCAATCACAAATACGCGTCACATTTACAAATTCAAACAACACAGCCATACACTTCATTGCCTGCACATTCATGTATACACTTATCACATAGAATCATATGCTAATGATAAACGTGTACCGTTGTTTACAATTATCAGTCCTTAGTGTTTGTATCACTATGACCATGCCCATGTGGGTTTGTCTCGTATTGTCGAGAATAAAGTATTTATTTATTCATATGTAGTTGCGTTGCAAAATACTTTATAAATATTATGCACGTAAATATAAGCTAAAAGGCGAAAGAGGTGTATAAGAGAATCTCGGAAAACAAGATACGTCTCATAAATTCCGAGGTAAGAGGGCAATCCGGTCCACATTTCGCAGTAGTTGTAGTGAAGTTTAGTTCAGTCAAACAACTATGATCCGAGCAACGAAGTGCGGTGGATCCAGTTGCCACGACTCACACCGTAAGAATAACAATAAATAAGACCAGTAGAATAGTGGGTTTGGGTGCGGATAAAACGTAGGGAAAATAGAATCGAGAGGGAAATGCGTCAGACTAATCAGAATGGAGCGCAAATTAACAACCAAGTACAAGAAAGCGAATGCATGAACGCCATTGACTGCGTGACTGTGCCACGTCTGATACGGTCTCCAACCATCGGTGTGGACCATCCTGAGGACCCATCCACGAAGACGGCACACACCCGACTGACCAAATCTCTCGATGCCACGTTATGGACTAGCCACCGCGAGGTTTCGCGAAACTTGGTGCAGCCATGGCATATAATGCACGCCGAGGAAGCCGATCAACGGGCATACAGAGAACATGGCCCAGCTAACGCAAGCGACTAAGATTCTGCAAGCACTTGAGTGAGGCACCAGAAGGCTTCTTGCTAAAAACCAATTGGCGGACCTCAACAGTGGTCACCCGGTGTGCCCACCAGGCGTGAGCAATACACTGCAAGCACCGGTGGTCAAGCACGGCCAAGCGTTTAATGTCTTCGCCCCGGAGTGACCAGGCCTCTGATCCATACGGTAGCACCGGCCTCACCGCAGCGTTATACACCCTACCTTTCATTGACAAGTTCTAGGTGCACTAGCGCAGATTCTGCAATCGACAAGAGGAATGTCGAGATTACCAGGACAGGAGTGTTGGCATCAATATGAAGCTATAGTGCCGAATTGTTTGGTGCCGCTAATATCAGCAACTGTGCGACAACTCTTAATCCGATCGATTTGACGAGCGTCTGTGGATGGATTCGGGTGTGCGATCACGATAAATATAAGCACAACACGATATTTCATGGCAGTTTCTGATGACTGGCGAGTCACCTGGACTTTTCGCCCACCGCACCAGGTAAGACAACAGTTGAGCAATAACTCGTAAGTGCCATGGCCACACCTCAGTGTTCGGAGTTTCGGCACAGTTTGTTATAAAATTCTATGCCAATCAGGTGCTGATTAATCGGAATTCATGAGGCTTCCGTAGCAGAGGCGAAACTGCATGTAGTAACAATTCAACTGTTCAAACTCGAGTTCAAGCTCGAACTGCGATACCGCACAAGTCCGATTTCGATGGCGATTTAGGTTACAGCAAAAGTTGTTATCCAAACTAGTGAGACCGCATCAGAAGTGGGGCATGTTTCGACTCATACGATACACTACAATACTTGCCCGTCTCTGTTTCGATGCTGCAGCTGGGGGGTGAGGACGGAGCCCAAGACGAAGTGGCTGAAGTTTGGTGTCTTCATCACAGAACCGTTGAAAAGTATGAGGTTGAACAGCGAAATTCAAACACATTGTGGGCACTCCAAAAGCTCAAAGGTGGCAAACACTGCCGCGGTTCTAATTAGCGTTTTCAATATGGCAAATGTACACATGATGAAAGCTAACCTCAACTTTGGCGCGTAGTGCTTTTTCCTCCGCCTCCGATAACTCCTTGCTAATGTCCATACAACCTGCCGACCGGAATCTAGACGAAAGTAGATCTGCAACCAGCCGCAATTTGTGATCAGGAAGATTGGCTATTGGGCGTTCTCTGTCTTCGGCATCCGACACAGTGTTCGGCTTGTGGTGGCGTTCCGCCGAGGAAACGGGCAAATGCGAAGCTCGCAAGATAGCGTTGAATGAGCTAACTTCTCGCTCGCGATCCTCACTCGGCATATCCACATCGCCGGAAGAGCGTGTGTATGCTTCATCAGCTAACACAAAATGTCAACGGAACAGAATGAGCAGGTCACACAGAATGTGTGAGAAGTACAGGCAAAAAGTAAGGTAATCCTGGGTACAATGAGGCGAACTTCTAGCACTAAGGAACGATGGCTTCAAAACATTTAACCCAAGGAAAAAGATCTCGTGTGAGTATCAACGATCGCTTGGTGTGCATAATAGCTGAGCAAAGGATGAGTTTCTTTTGCTGACAGCAATAGCTCACGAGGAAAGTGATCAATGAGGTCCTGTAAACAAAATCTCGATAGGACGCAGAGGTAAGAGAGAACAGGAATCCAGAAGAATCACACGAGCTCACAGCATTTAAGAAACCAACAAGAGAGTCGATCTGCGCTCATCAATAGGTCCGATGATGTCCAACAAATGTGGCCCGTGTGAACAAAATACAATGTAGGCAGCCCAGATGAGTGACGCCCGTAAAATAATTATGCTGTTTGCAATGCGATGCGAATGCGACCTACACTGAATCCGATAACGTAGCTAACCACCGACGTGGACGGTAGTGGGGCGCCCATGAAGGAGATGGCAACCACAACGGTGGTTATTTGTCAGTGAATCTAGTCATGTTTTTCGTTAGGCTTCCCATTGACCAGTTCGAAGTATCAACCAAATAAGCAGAATATTGGTACACAAATTGTACGCAGGTGGTACACATCACCTAGCCAGTTGGAATTCAGTAACCACTGCAGTGACGCTCCAGGAAAACAAAAGGTAACCAGTTTCAGCAGCACTCACCCTGTGTTTCCATCAGACATTACTTGTATATTGTAAACATAGGTCTCTGGATGTCCTCAGCACACAGGAACCAGATCCCTGATCCATCACAGCTGCATCGCAGCATTGGATACAGCTGCGTTAAGCGACAAGTCTGCGAATCATTATTGGTGACGGCTAGGGCTAACAAGTCCATACTGGCCTTACAAATGCGCGCTGCAGTGCTGCGGTCATCAAATGTGATACAGCTGCCTGAATGAACCCGTCAGTGGCTCAGAGAAAACAAGAGCTGGTGGTGAGTCCGTTCAATCCCGCAACAGTAATATGCACTTAAATATGAGGAGAACATACCACGATGCGTGGTGTTGCGGCATGCACCAACCGGCGCAGAAACGCTTGCATAGAGTACAGGTCCAACCAGAGAGAACTATAACATCCGGGAACTTTATGCATACTTCCGGCAACAATAGAATCGTTACAGATAAAGTAGAATATAGAAGTGAGCCACTGATGATGATCTCGTTTAAAAGTTTGAGTAGAAACGGAGAGTAAGCCACTCCAGATGTACTCTAGTCGACTCGAGGAGTAAACAGCGTAGTTTCGAACTAGGAATTTAGAAACAGGTTTCACAGGTAGGTACCACAAAGCCGCACGTCTCAGCAAATAGGTGACCAGAAACGAAGCAAAGATAGGCTTCTAGTTAAGAAAGAATAGCATAACAGAAGGATGTTAGTTGTCGTCCGTCAGAAAACTTCAGTGTTTTCGGAAGGACAACACTCAATACTTATCTGCCTTATAAGTTACGGTCCCAGTGAGCGAACTGGCCAAGGTTCACTTCAATGCGAATCGCGACCCATGTTGAGATTGTGCGTCGCGATTCATAAACACAAGCGCTTTAAAATTACCCTTCTATATCACGACAGTCTGATTGTAAATATGGCGCCGTCCAAGTACCTGGTGAAGAGCAACAATGTGGCATCGTCAGCGAGCCGCTGAAAAGTAATGCATTTCAGGAGTTGCCGAGCAGTTGACAGGATACTGATACCAATTCGAAGTTCGTATGATATCCTTGGCCTCTACATGCCCGGCGTCGATGGATGACGGTCGTCAAGCGTGAAAAGTTTTCTCTCCAATACATGGTCGGACGTAGAAACAAAAACAATCGAATTAAGTCCCTACTGTCCTTTAGCAACGATGATTGAAGATCGTTTGGGCCACATGTCATCATCAATACCACCTGTCGTCGAATCCCATCGACTGCAGTTGTTACATCAGCGTCCCAGGTGGCTTCAAGTGTCCAACTAACTATTCTGGTATAGCAGGTTGGCTCAGCTGCTTTTCAAAGTGTCTGGCCATGCGTTACAGCTGTTCTGGTTGAGACTGAGTCAGTTGTCCATTTTCGCAGTCACAGTTCATTAGTAGGAGGCTGTCCCGAACAGGTAGGTCGTAGGAGTTGGAAAAGTACTTTGGTATTCTTGGTGTTCGCTGCGTTTCTTCTTCCCATCACATGGAATCGTCATCTACCAATTTACATGGTCGATTATGACCCCCAGTCTGACACAAATCCATTGCATTACAGGAACTCCACTGAAACATACCGTATTCTCCAAGCAGATCTATCGACGCTACAGAAATGCACTCAATAGTCAAACAACTCAAGATAGGCGAACAAGCGACCTCGAGTAGATGTTGTGCTGCGCATTGGAGCCAATTCCACCCCACATCCGATACGTCCAGCGAGCAACAGCTGATGCGGCAATTCAAACCGATAACGCTGCTCCGCAGACCGTCGACATCATCCAAGTTGAGCACTAAGTCAAAATTCGAAGAAAGGGCATTATGCGGCCAAGCATGGAAGCATGATCAGAATTCAGTCAAGTTTCTCATTTCAACCGACAGCCTTACAACGGCATGCCTAAGCAATAACTAATGGTGACGTCGTCAGTTTGACTCAATAGAAGCCCATCATTTGGTGGCCCTAATGCAAGACGGTACGAGCGCTTGTATTGGAAACTTGTGCTGACACTCTACAGACTGTTGCCAACAATTAACGGAATAAGGTGGTCGCCATGATCAGTCAGAACGATCTCACTTAGCCGATGCCTCGATTCTGACAGGCAAGCGACTTCAGAATCTGTCGTCCCCAGTGATCACGATAGCTGTGGTTTCGGTGTTTCTGGTAGAGGACGATAGCTGCTGATAGAGCCAATCTCTGATGATCTTTGAACTGCGGTCGGTAAGAGCGTTGGTGTAAGCAACAAAACAGCATCCCTCCTTGGGCTGATCCTCAGTGAATCCGATGGGGGTTCAAAGTACGAGCACAAACACGCTATTTTTAACATGGATCCAATCCATAGGAGCAGTCTCAACACAGGCGTTGAAATGGGTTCGGCATCATCAGAGGCCAAAATTTTATGGGCGCAAATGGATTTCACTACTGTCGTTTTGTATGCGAATTTTGAAGGTACCACAGTACGCGTCAACTTCAACTGATCTTGAAAGGCCTTGAAATAAGTGTGCATACTTCTCGACTATCCTAAAGTATACACCCGTGATTCGGCCCGTAGCCTAGAGGTAACGAGCTTATCTTATAATCTTGCGGCGTGGGTTCGAATCCGCGTAAAGGTGGGCGTCCTCGGGTATACTCAGTTCGCGTGCGGCTGGTGGTGGTCGCACGGCAGCGAAGCGCCGTTACGGCGTACAGCTGACACATTATTTTGTTTTATTATTATACCATAGTTAAACTTAATTGAGACTTCTCAGATTTTTGACCAAAAGCCATCTGACGTGAGGTGGGTCGCAACAAACTGGTAAGGATGGTGCTGTTCCATCGTCAGCGATAACCCCCGATCGTTGTTATTATGTTACTGGGAGAGGATCATTGACCCTGAAGAGGATGTTGAAATCGAGTGGATGGCATAAATGGCAGTTGGGAAGTGTTACCCAGAATTGGATCAACAGATTGTGGAGACATACAGCTATGGCATCACGAACGGATTCAAAATAGCTGTGATCGTGTTCATCTGCAAAAGGGAACGAAGTCAACCCTCTGTTCATCACAGATCAGCATGAACATTACGTGTTGTGCAATGTTTGCCAATTCGTTGAGAATGGAAAGGACGAGGACTCACAGTGACAGTGACGAGGTTAAAATGATGGAGATGGTCTCTGGGTCGTTGAAATCCCGTATGGTGATCGAGAACAAGGTCGCATCGAGCTACTGTTGAAGTATATGCTTAATTGCTATACCTAAGAGTAATGGCTAGCGCCGCGAACAAGGTGTATCCCGAGTTCAATAAATTACAGTTCTTAATAAATAGGTTGAATAGGTTGAAAAAGGAAAACATTGCCCATTCGTCCAATGTTGTTTATCGATAAGTCAGGACAACGTCACTCATCTATCGCTCACCCCAACGGTGCAGGTGGTTCACACCATGTCTGATAGACTGCTAGGTTGTGAATAGGCCATGTTGATTGTAGTTACCACAATAGCAAAAATAAAAGTGGAAATACCATTTCACCATGTGCTTTAGATATAGTAAAACAGCACACTATGACACTGATTTGGAGAACCACGTGTGCATCGAAACCTCGGGCTTCGAGTTGATGGAGTCCAACGTTGAGGGGTGCAGTGGTCTAAACCGATGGCTGAAGGATTCACTTGCATCTGTGTACCGCAGGATCATAAATCATGAAAAACCCTAGCAGACGGTTATGATACCTGGGAGGAACATCAGATCGGCAAATCAGGTAGATGGATTGAATAAACAACTGGTATCCCGCGAGAAGCAGTCATCGAACGCTGCAAATAAGCACAATGACAACTAAGTTGCAAGTATGAATTGAGGACAAAGGAATGGTGGACTAATTCTTTCGCCTACTAGCCAAAAGCATCTGTGGGTAAAATCGGATAACCAGTGTTCACCAAGCAATAGACTTAAGTTGCCTTTCACCAACTCATGGGTAGCTGAGGTAATACCACAATTTGCGGTACCGATATCATGGACTGAAGTAACCAGTGGGTTTAAATCTCAAAAGACACACAGTATCAGCATCGTTAAATAACTGAGCAGTATTCTAAAATTGAGTAGAACATTTGAGAAACGGAGTTTAATTTTATACGTGTAAAAATGCCACAGCTCTTCAAACACCAACTGAGCTAACTCATTTCGACTGTTGAAACTCGGGTCAACATCAACACTTCGGATCAGGTGGCGAATTTCAATACCGTGCTTAACTGAGTATCATCACCAAATGAGAAGACGGTTGGACGATGATACTCACAAGAGAATCCACGTCGAATTAAGACCTGAAAAGCTTCGAAGCGAGCTTGTTTGGCTGGGTCAAATTTGAACGGCTTCAGTAAGGCGTCCGTCCGCATAGGAGGGAGGGTCGATGAAGGGGGGACTTGCGCAGTTTCTGCGGTGGAGACGGTGAGGTTTGGAACAGGAAGCCCAGCCGCCGCAGCCTTCATATGCAGTTGGCCTATGGGGCTCAGCAAGTCGAAAACGGAACCTGTAACATGTAAAAAAGACAAATAAGACATGCGGTGAAGTTGATGGGCTAGACACCATACAATGATGGTAGGCAAAACTGATTAAATGTTCCCTACTCGGCCAAAAGTAAGCAAAATACAGAGAGCAGAAGTATGGACGTGTGAGCGAGATCCGATCCACAAAAGTTAGGTGAACTATTCGTAAGCATGGTAACTGTTAACATCTTGGATCTTAAGCAGGTCAGCTGGTGAGCAATCAAGGAAACTGAAAACAGAGGAATTTAGAACTGGGCTACTTAGGACAAAGACACTGGATTGTTCCTCAGTGAAGGTAGTGCGTGGAAACAATGTAGATTTGCAAGCAGAAGATTGATAGCAGACGCGCAGCCGAAAGGAAAGAACAAACTGGGAGCGCGAAAAGACAAGGGGTGCCTTATTGTAACGGGTCCTAACTGAGGAGCACAATGAAGGTGAGATGAAGCTCAGTTGAACGTTGAGAACACGAGTGATGCGAATGCGATGACATAAATCGAGCTAAACGCTAGCACAGCATCGTAAACACGCAAAATATAAATACGGAAAGAAGTCAAGACGGTGGATTGGTATGCTACCGGGTGGGGAGGAGAGATTGATGGGCGAAACGTGTGATGCGTGAGGTCTCTAGCGGAGACGCGAGCTTGGTACATGCGTTGCCCGGACAAACGTAAGAAAAATCGGCAAACAAGATGAAAAGTGAAATACGAATCAACGGCAAGTTCGATTAGTTCTGTAAGAACACGAGACACATTTGGGAGGCTTTGTGAGACATGAGAAGGCCAGAAAAATACAGAACAATCAATCATCGCAAAGATGTCTGTAGATGAGAGAGCATTGTAGGATGCGATAGTTGAGTGAATGTACCTCAGGCCAAAGGGTCCACAGAAAGGGGCTGCTGAATCAGATCAGAAGCGGTGAAATGGGCAGTATGAGACTAAACAAATGAAAGTGGCGTTGATTTCGCACCGTATCGCAATTCACTGCCCAGAAGTACAGAAAACGTTTAATGTCAAGGAAAGTCAGTCTGGTTACGTGGGAGGATATCCTGCAGTTTGCATCGAGGTCCAGTGGGATGAAAGCGAGTTAAAGCGACTCTATACCGGGTGTTCACTTTCACGGTAGCATTGTTGCAGCTTGCTAGAGTTTAGAAATGCAGTACATCGGAAAGTGAGATGTGCACCCATATGTTAAAACGGTTCGCACAACAAACTGTGTGTGATTAATGAACGCCTTCCACAATGGCCTCAGACGAAGTGTGCATATCATAGGTAAATAAGGTTACCTTCGCAGCTTAACTGCAAGACGTGTTTGCCAGCTAGCTGCTGCGACGGGGGAACAAAGTCGGATGGTACAGTGCAGCACATTTGGATACCGACCCCGGATGATACCAATTTACGGCAGTTAGTGTACCTACGGTGAGCGGTTGAAGAAAAACGCAGAGGGAGTCGAGGATCAGCGACTCAGATACCAGAGGGTGTTGAGAGTAGTGGTCTCGGCTTTGTTACAACGCTCCATAAGGATACCAAAGGTATGCATTACAAGGGTGGATCAAAAAGTTCTCGGCCCGACCAAGAAGTAAATGGACTGAATGAAAAGTAAGATTATCTTGTAAAAGTATCATATCCTGGAAGTACCAGTGCCAAGTCTCAAGTTTCTACCTTTATTTGCTTGCAGGTAGTGATCCAATAAACTGAGTTTGGTTGTTCAATTTCCAAAAATGGACAAATCTGAAAGTCCAGCTGTGATCAAGTACCTGCAGAGACAGGGTATGATGACAAAGGAAATACATACTAATACGGTTGAGACACTTGGTGAGGACTCTTCTTTTCATTCCACTGATAAGAAGTGGGCTGCAAATATAAAGACGGTCAGGAAGAGCACTGAAGATGAGCCACGGTCTGGCCGCCCAAAATCTTCGACGTGTGATGATCAAGTGGAAGCAATTCACCGAATGATATTGAACGATAGAAGGTTATCCATTTCTCATACAGCTAAGACTATGGGCATCAGTTATGCTTCAGTGCATGCTGTTTTAACGAACATTTTGGGGATGAGAAAGATGACTGCAAGATGGGTGCCAAGAATGTTGACACCCAATCAGAAATTAAACAGGCTGGAAAATACTAAGCAACTTTTGACCCGTTCCAAGGCAAATCCCGTAATTTTTTCAAAAGATTTGTTATCCAGGATGAAACTTGTGTGCATTACTTTTAATCTGAGTCAAAGATTCGAAATAAACAAGTCAAGTCAAGTCAAAATAAGCACCGTAAAGAAGTTGCGTCAGATGACATCCGTGGAAAACGTGATGGCTTCGGTCTTCTGCGACCGTAAAGTTGTACTCATGAGAGCCTTCTTGATAGGGTGTGAGACCATCACATACGAGCATTACGCTAACTGAAACAAGCAGTCAAAGGAAAATGGCGGGAGAAGCTCGCGGCAGTTCTTATTTTGCATGACAACGTAACCGTTCACAATTCTCAAGTGACCGTGTCCAAAGCAGCTATATGCGACTTTGAATTGATGTCACACCCCGCTTATTCAGCAGCTCAGACCTCATCAGACTTTTATCCATTCCTTAAACTGAAATCCTACCGAGGATGATGAGTTGGTCAGTGCTGTGGAGCTGTTTCTAAAGAGACAGTCTTTGACCTTCTTCCACAGAGGGATAGTAATGCATGCACATCGCTGGACTAAGTGCACTCAACCTATCGGGGATTAAACTGAATAGTATTAAAGCATGACTTAGATAGTTAGTTTGTTTCTACGTAGGGTCGAGGGCTTTTGATCCACCCTTGTACGTGTCGACCATGGCTCGGCAATTCATTTATCGTGTGGTCACAGGCACAACCACCTGCTGATGCAATATCGAAGCACAAAACATTAAGCTACTAGCTTGATAATCGGTGAACATTAAAATCCGTCCAGCCTTTCTATTTTGATTTGTCAAGCGTGGAATGTCCAAACAGATGTGCTTGCTTCTGCTTAAAATTTGAAGTTTTCAAAAAGCAGTGATTGTCGCACCTACTGCCCTATGATATTATCGCAGTATTAAAAACTAACCCATCGTAAGTCACTGACAGGTCTACTGCATAGTATCAGTTAGGTAGATTGTTGAAAAGCAGCACCAACGAGTGGGAAATGTTAGTTTCTTTACAGAATCAATGATGTATAATGACGCGTATAACTATTTATCGTTTGACTGCATTATTTAATTATGCCATCCATATAAGTATGTGAATCGTCTAATTTTCGCCGTGAATTTGAGATGTTTCATATTTCAGCCACTGAAGCCAAACATCGCTATATCCAGCGATCAAAACGTTTAGGCTGCGCAGAGAAGCTAACTCATAATGCGCTTGACTTGGTTCGGTAGCCAAAGTTGGTCCTGCACCTCTGACAAACATGACGACCTTCTTCGTCTTCGACCAGAAAAAAGGAAAGGAGAGATACTAAGCTTCCCCATTCATCTAACTAAATACGAGTGGTTGCATTTCGTCACCAGTAAAGCGAAAATGTTTGGGATTAACCTGCTCGCGTGGTACGTGGGATAGAAGAAATCCACAGTAATTTGGCGGGATCGACGATCTATGTAGCATGCACAGCTCCCCCACGGACAGCTAATCCTTGTGCGTCACTCTCGTTGGTTAACTGCAGTGTGGCAACTGTGCTATGAGCGTGCAAACTGGAATAACATTCTCTGGCTGTTGTAAATAACTCCATTCCGAATGCGCTTGAACTAACTAAGCGAGATGCAAATGCGCAATATGACGATAGGTTCTGCATGGTTTCGCACCGAAAATATGGTTATGCCACTCCTCAGATGGTAGTAATGCTGGCGCCGAAGTGCGATACTAGCAAAGATGGTAGACAGTGAGACTCGTGTACAAACTGTTGCACTGGTCCTAGACAAAATGGGTGCCCCGAACTCGGTGCCAAACACCAAGCTCCGTTTCAGAACGGCGCAACCAGGAACAATGAACTTTAGATAGGCACCCAGGCCCCGAGGACGTTTGCCCAGATACTAGCGGTTGCTCCAGTGATGCCTTCGCACTGTATGCTCCATCATAACTCTGCGGTGCATGCAATACTGCCTAAGGTTGGACAACACATACCTCCATGGTTGCCGCCCTCATGACATCCACACCGTCCACCATAGCGTTGAGATAATTTGAGCAATTACAGCTGCCCATATTATTGAGGGGTCTAGGATGCCTGCTGTTGTCCCACCCAGGAAAGCAGCCACGCACTCATCCAAAAAGGAGACCACCAGACAACAGCAAATTTCTCTGACAGTTATATGCATCAGTGTGCCTGAATTTGAGACAAACACATTCAAGGATAAAGTATTGGACGATCGGAAGCAATGAAACTTCTTAGGCAACTAATCAGAGTCCAAGCTAAACCGGTAGATGTGATACGCCTCGCGTTATACGAACTCTTTACACTATGGTGAACCGCGTATCCTTCAAGTACGGCCGTAGACAGAGAATAACATATATATATATATATATATATATATATATATATATTATTGTTCTTTTGTCAGCCACTCGTTTCTGAACAACTCAGAGCACCGTACGTATTTTCACAGATGTCCCTTCGACAAACGTCAAAAACATTCACAGACGGGGCTTCAAACATGAAGTGCTCTCTATGCAAAACGTAATCACCAAATAGACTTCAAGCTTACAATCCTCATCCAACTATAGAGCATATGATCCACCGATGAATAAATTTACTCTACACTCCAATTCCATGGTTGAAAAGGCGCTGGAAATGTGACACAAGTTGTTCAGAAAGTTGCTATCAAAAAGTACGCGTGAAGACGATGGACACGCGGCCACCCAGAAGATGGCACTAAACAAGCAGCGTTTGTTCGTAATGCCGTCGGCAAGTAGTTCAGAATGGGTAAGCAGTTGAAACCCCCTGGTAACTGAAGGAAGCTTGATACTCATATACCTGCTGATATCGGGCACTTTGCACGTCAAGCTTCTAGGTCCCCGGGTGTTGCTTAGTTGTTCAAAGGAAAAGCACCACTGGCATCCGACCCAACAAGTGTCAGCACATAAACCTGTATCGTCGAATATACTTCCGTGACACTCACATACTTCTATACTAACAATCAATACCCGAAAGAGAAAGCGATAACTCAGATTGGTTAAATTGCTTTCTAAAGTGTTCGGTCAACGCTCCAAGCGCTTTGACAAGCTGTGGATCGGCTGCCCACTCTCGTCGCGGATTGTCTTGCTAACATCCGGTCTCCTGCTGCCTGTTTCCCGTATCAGACGGAATAACTTACGATGATTACCAACGGCAGCGGCTGTTTCAATTTCCGATGCACGATGAGACCAGCAGGCTTCGCGGTCTCACACACATATAGCTTTGAATTGCCGCCAAACCCCGCTTATTCATCAGCTCTGACCCCATTAGACTTTTATCCACTCCCAAAACTAAAACCTCACCTACGACGATGATGGGTTGATCAGTGCTGTGAAGCTGTTTTAGTGGGACATAGGGATAGTAATGCTTGAACACCGCTAGC